TTACAGTAGGAAGTCAGTGCTTTTGCAGAAATTCAAGCGGACAGTGTAGACGGCTGGCAAGTTTTTCCGGAAAAGTGGCTGATTTCCCGGAAAAACTGGCCAGTCTAGACACAGCCCCTGGGTAAAATTCATGCTAGAGCAGAAGACATGCCCAAAGATCGGCATTTGTATCAAATCATAGAATCCTAGGACTGGAAGGGACCTCCAGAGGTCATCTAGTCAGTCCCCTGCCCTCACGGCAGGACCAAGCACTGTCTTAAATAAAGCATTTACATTTTCCTTCTGTTTTCCAAAAAAAGTCTGTCTTGAGTTAAGTAAGCAATGCAGGGTAAATCTGCTAGTATGCTATAATGTGTAACTTTCTAGGATAGTTCATTGTTTAAGTAAATACCTTCCTTTCCCCACACTGGAGTTACATAAAAAGGATAGCACGGGGTATAAGACTGCTTTGGGGTTTGGTTTTTTTGTTCTGTTGTCCATTTCACTGTGAAATTAATTCCAATTTAAATCGAACTCATCCAATGATGAGCCAGTCTTGCAAGGCTGTGAGCAGGCATGTAACTGACTTCCTTGAGGAGCTACCTGAACTTCTTGGAAGATCAATTCAAGGCCTTAGTCTTTCACCTTTGTGAAATTGCCAACTTCTTGAAATGCACCATCCTAATTCTCTTGAGCAACAATGTGCCTGAGATGGTAAGAGTTAAAGCAAGAGTATTTTAGATCAATATTTTCTTGCTTGCCAACAACTCTTCCCAATGTGAGTTTAATTTTTATGTTACAGGCGTGACATAGCTAATAGTAGTAAATGTAGAACTTTATATGTAAATACAGAACTCTTGAAACAGACTCCAAATTAAAACCTGCACAGCAGAAAGGATTCAACTGAAGAGGGTGTTTCCTTTGGCTAGGGATGTAAGCGACTAATTGACTTGTCAACTATCTGATAAGCAAAACGCTTATTGGATAGTTGACACACTAGTAGACTAGTATCAGAGGAGTAGCCGTGTTAGTCTGAATCTGCATAAACAATGGGAAGTCCTGTGGCACTTAACAGATTTATTGGAGCATAAGCTTTCATGGGCAAAGTGACGAAGTGGGTCTTTGCCCACGAAAGCTTATGCTCCAATAAATCTGTTAAGTGCCACAGGACTTCCCATTGTTTATGCAGATTCAGACTCTTTTAAGAAAGAAGAAGGAAGGGGGGAGGGAGAAGGGGGTGTTGGGGGGAGCTGGCTTAAAAGCTGGTTTCCCCTCTCTAGCTCCGTGGGAGGAGGCAGTGGTGTACATTCCACCTTTGAAAAGTCTGCTCAGAGTTCACTGCTGGCCCCAGGTTCCATGTAGTGTTTAATCTTTGAAATGCACAAGAGCCCATGCTGGGTCACTTGTACATTTCAGAGGTGGAATGCTGCAGGGCACTTCTGCCTTTGAAATGTAGCAACAGCTGGGCAGGCTCTTGCTACATTTCAAAGCAGAAGCGCCCTTATTGACTAATCAAATAGTCGATGGAAATACCATCAAATATTCGATTAGTTAATCTAATTTTTACATCCCTATCTTTGGCCATGTAATAATAAAAATGTAGGTCAAAACAATTTAGTTAAAAGTTGTGTGGAATACTTATTAAGGCAATAATTAATTGGTTGCTAAGATCTTCATATGGAAAGAGCAGGCGCAGTTTTGTTTTTTGAAAGCATGGAATTATTCTCTTCTAGCCTCCTGGAAGAATGCTATGTCATGAAGGATCCTTTCACCCCTGACAAGGACAAATTCCTTATTCTTGGATCTCAGTGCAGTTTATGTAACAGACGGGTGTGTGTGGGCACAGTAAGTGACATGGTGCATTTTCACTTCCATTTTTGTTTCAGCCTCAGTGAGCTATTGGTGAAAAAAATCAAACAAACAGCAACAGCGGAAAAGCAAAGAACTTGGTTTGAGTTTGTTTTAAATGAGCTACCTATTTGTTTTGCCAGTTCTCCTAATCATTGTTCCATGAATTAAGTGAGAATGTGAGCAACTTGCTTCAGATTATGCTTACAAAAGAATTAAATCCACACTCCCAACTGAAATGCTAGCTCACTGAGTAGAACTGCTAGAGAGTTCATAGATCTCTTTCCAAACCTTCAGATCCCTTTGTGATTACAACAGACTATAGGAGAAATTCTTCCCCCTCTTTACTGCCCCAGTGCAGCCCCAGCATAGTGCTTCTGTAGGTCCTTTCTGTTGACCTTCTTGCAAAGTGCAGTGCCATATGGGAGCAGGGGACAGAGCTGAGATTGGAGCATAGTATGATAGAGAGCCCAGGTGAGCAATTGAGATACTTAAGAGTCTCATGGAAGATGGCTTTGGTGAGGAAGCAGAGGAAAATATAGAATATTCTATAGGACAAAGGAGATGGAGTCAAATTCCTCTTGTCCTACTGATCAAGGTCACATGATTGCAGGAATGTAGAAAAGATTAACTTGATCCAATGTTACTGATCCAAATTTAAGTGTAGCCCCTTTAACTTTGGGGATGCTACACTAGGGATGATTTTGGATCCCTCTGAAGTCATAACATTTACAAATTTTCTAAGATTTTATTCTGATAGCTTTATTTCTCCTGAAATTCTCTGTCCATTGCGTAGATTTATGGAAATATCCGATGATAAACAGGTATATTTCTTCTTTAGAAGATGAATCATTTGAAGGCTTCAGTGGGAAATGGATTGAACCCTTGAAGCTTTTTGTGTGCTGTTAAGTTCTTTAGCAATGTAAAGGAGTAACTCAAGCACACTTAACTGATTACAACCCTAAATTGAGGATATTTTAGCTGCTGATATACATAAGAGCTGTGTCTACATTGGCATCCCTTTCCGGAAAAGGGATGCTAATGAGACACTTTGGAATTGCAAATCCGCAGGGGATTTAAATATCCCCCGCGGCATTTGCAATTACATGGCTGCCGCTTTTTTCCGGCTCGGGGTTTTTGCCGGAGAAAAGCGCCAGTGTAGGTGCGGGTCTCCAGAAAATAAGCCCTTTTCCGGAAGATCCCTTGAAAGTAGGAATAAGGGATCTTCCAGAAAAGGGCTTATTTTCCGGAGAATCGCGTCTACACTGGCGCTTTTCTCCGGCAAAAACCCCGAGCCGGAAAAAAGCGGCAGCCATGTAAATGCAAATGCTGCAGGGGATATTTAAATCCCCAGTGGATTTGCAATTCCGAAGTGTCTCGTTAGCATCCCTTTTCCGGAAAGGGATGCCAATGTAGAGACAACCCACATGTTCGCTTCCACCAAGTCATTTTGTTACAGATTTGGAGTTTTAACCAAACACGCTACAATGAATTTCTTAATAGGAAGGTGAGGGCTACCCTTTGTAATCTTAGAGGATAATGTAGTTTGTGTTTGAACTCCTTTGGGTATAACAATGCATCTAGGGCCATGAGCAGTGTTGTGGTAAAAGACTTTTATAATCTTCAGAGAGTTATGGGTTTGTTTGTTTTTAAACTAGTAGATTAGATACCTTCTTTCATAGCTTTCAAGATTTTTCTTGATAGTCTCTCCTAGCAAAAACCCGGAGATTCTTAGTGACAGCAATACACATGCCCACACTGAACAGCTAATCTGAACTGTGTGCAAGGAATTGGGATTAAGTTTCCTACCAAACTAGCCTAACCATGGAAAAAATCTGTGAAGATGGTTACTGAGTGCATTTAGTAACTATCAATAACATTCAGCACTTCTGTAGAACTTTTCCACTGATACTTAACTAATCCTTTGGCTGTCCATGCAAGATAAGTAAATATTCCTCTTTCATGTAGGGGAAAATAGAACACGGAGGTTAACTGACTTACCCAAGGCCATACATGGCGCCAGAGCTAGGATTAGTGCTACATGACTAACTCCAGTTTAGCTACAAGTGTTTTCTCCCCTCAGTGTCACCTCCTTCCTCCCCACTCCAGAACTAATTTAAGAAAGAATTATATTAAGCTGTGCTTTATAGTTTATTGTTCAATGATGTAAAGCATGTCTGTGGAGATCACCATGACAGTATCTGTGAACCTAGATCTGTACATAAAATAGATGCGTACATAAAATAGCACATTTTATAGTGGGCTGTGGAACAAGGTACAGCTGAAGTCACACTATATCTAGACACTGCCCTATGAAATGAACTCTTACATGTGGAAATGTGTAAGAACCACTACTGCCTTTAACCTTTAATTGGGATGGCGGGAGAAAGCTTCCTATGGCTTTCGACCCCATGCCCTGGCGAAAAGACCGAGAATGATCTCCTCATTAGTGAGGAAGCTGCATGAACTGAATGGAGAAGGGAGAACGCTAATATAAAGTCTGATTTATAGCAGTGTTTTTCAGTGACTGTTCCTGGGACAGCACTGGCCCCTGAGATTTCCCTAACACAGTTTAGGAAGGCAACAAGCAAGACTCTGATATCAAAAAGGTTGAGAAACAATGGCTTAGAGAAGCTATAATGTAACCAATTCCATTTCTGTATATTGCTTTTTTTTATAGGAATGTAGTCTATTCTACTCAAAAAGGTTCTGCCTCCCCTGTGTTAATGAAAACCTACTGGAGTTTCCATTGGAAATACGACAAGACTTGGATAAACGGAAGTCTCATTCGAAATCCCACTCCTCCAAAAAAACTGATGCAAGAACTTAAATTACAAGGCACCGGAAGAGACACTGCTCAGGGTTTTATAGTGTTTGTGGGGGAAAAAAAAGTATTTTTGTGACAGGTTTTTAAGTGGGTTTGGATTTAGGTATTCCCATGCAATGCAGCATTGGGCTAATGCACTGACCAGGTTACATGTAGTACACACATTAATCAGCATAAAGGATGGGAAAATATCAGACTTTTATAGGGTGTTTTTTTTTTTTTTTTTAATTTTGAGGCGTGAGCATGTTAGATGTTTTCTTGCAAGATTTATTACAAATATAGGCAAGATCCCAGATTTGATGGTATAGTTCCATTGATGTCCAGATGACATTCTGACTCAATTGTTAATTTGACAGTATCACATTGCTAAGATTATGGCAGATAACATCATGCCTTTTGCCCTTCCCTCCAAGTTTCGGTGCTATAGCAAGAGATCACTGAGCATAATCAGAACTGATATTCATAGAAAAATATATGGTCTGGAGGTCGTGGCATCAAGATTAATGCCACATGACATCTGCAAGCCAATAAAGTTGCAATGGTACGTACATGGTGATACTTACAAGACTGCAGACACCACCTTCCAGTGAGTTGGAAAGAGCCATTTTAGAGTTGTGAGTGGGTGGGTAGTGCTTCCTTTACAAATTAGAAAAAGATAATGCTTTCCATGTCACTTTTTTTTATCTTGACTGGACAATATTATTTACTTAGAAATAATAAAGTTCAGCCAGTGAACTGACAGATCAGCCTTAGCCTTTCTTGAAGAGAAGCTCAAGAGCTATTTTTAAATTAGGCTTTGCAGCTTTAAACTACAATTGAAGTGATGGCCTTTAATTTTTATATAAAATATCCCATGTAACTAAAGCAAAAATAATAAAAGTTCATATCACACATCAATAGTCATCAATTTTGTTTTTAAATCAAGTAAATGGTCAATTTATTAAAATAACCTACTACTGTGTGGAGTTAGCTGTTCCCAGCAAACTGAAATCATTGCTGAATGAATATTTAGAGATGTCCACTGAGTGCAATATTTTAAAGTGGGTAGGGCTGCAGTTTACTACTAGCCTGGCTAATGTGGTCAGAAACATGTTGACAGCACAGAGTGCTGGACTACCCATGTATTCATAGTGTAAAACTGTCACTCAGTGCTCATCCAGATCAGATTTGAGCTAGTGACCTAGAACAGGGAGTTCTTAACTTTTTTCTTGCAGAGACCTCACAACCTGCTGTAAAAATTCTATGGCTCACCTGTGCCACAACAGTGTTTTTCTGTCTATCCTGTAGATTTAAAAGCTTGGGGTGGCTCTGAAGGGTAGCAAGCTGGGCAGTTGCATGCCATAGAGAGCTCCTCAAAGTTAAGTTGTTCAAACTTTGGCTTTCTGCCCTGGGCACCAGTGGGTTTAAAGCCAGCCCTACTCTTTGAAGACCCCCTGAAATCTGCTTTTGAACTACTGGTCTAGAGGTCAAACTCCATATCTTGTTATTATTTTGCTGAGCTATCCATACCCACAGAAAACAGTTTTGATATCTTAAAACATAGTCAATTCTACATTGCTTGTAGGAATAGTAGACAGCGTCCAGTCACCTTAAGCAGCAGAGCTTTTCAGTTACAACAGTACAGCTGTGTCTAGACTGGCAAGTTTTTCCGCAAAATCATCTGCTTTTGCGGAAAAACTTGCCAGCCCTCCCCGCCTGTCTACACTGGCCGCTTGAATTTCCACATGAACACTGACAATCTCATGTAAGATCGTCAGTGTTCCTGCAGAAATACTGTGCTGCTCCCGTTCGGGCAAAAGCCCTCTTGCGCAAATGATTTGCGCAAGAGGGCCAGTGTAGACAGCACAGTACTGTTTTGCGCAAAAAAGCCCTGATGGCTAAAATGGTCGGTGCTTTTTTGCGCAAAAGCGCGTCTAGATTGGTACGGACGCTTTTCTGCAAAAAGTGCTTTTGCGGAAAAGGGTCCGTGCCAATCTAGATGCTCTAACGGAAAACTTTTCTGTTAAAAGCATTTCCGGAAACTCATGCCAGTGTAGACGTAGCCTACCTGTTTATTTCAGCCTTGCAATTCAGTAGTGATATTGCTCTCACAGCATAAGTCATCCGTATGTTGTCATAAAGTGATTACAACACAGAGGCTGTGTCTACACTGGGCCACTTATTCCGGAAAATCAGCCGCTTTTCCAGAATAAGCTGCGAGCTGTCTACACTGGCCCTTGAATTTCCGGAAAAGCAACGATGCTCTACTGTACAAAATCAGCCGCTATTCCGGAAAAACTATTCTGCTCCCGCTCGGGCATAAGTCCTTATTCCGGAACACTGTTCCAGAAAAAGGCCAGTGTAGACAGCCCAGTAGTCTTTTCTGGAAAAAAGCCCCGATCGTGAAAATAGCGATCGGGACTCTTTTTCGGAAAAGCGCGTCTACATTGGCCACAGACGCTTTTCCAGAAAAAGGGCTTTTCCAGAAAAGCAGCCTGCCAATGTAGACACTCCTTTTCTGGAAAAACTGAAAACGGAATAGTATTCCGTTTTAAGCAGTTCCGGAAATTCATGCCAGTGTAGACACAGCCAGAGTGCAAGGATGACTTAATGCAACAACTCATAAGAACAAGACTGGTACAATTGGGTTCTTAAGCCCCATACAATTCTGGAACTGGTTCTGTGTGGACACCTTTGGAACCTTATGGAGTTCCCAGTTAGCCAAAACATGTGTGCTGATCAACAGACCTTTGTTTACAACTTTGCTCAGAAGTTTGCAAGGTAGAAGCTATTTTAGGGAAAAAATCTGTTTTTGCAGATTAACAGCACGCCACATTGCTACAGCATCACCCAAGCAAGAGCAGAGACTGCATATGCATTCACATTATCTACACTTGTGTATAGGCCTCTTTGTATTTTCTTATTAAATGTATCATAGGAAAAAACCTCATTAATAAAAGGTGTTCCTATCCAGCTCACTTTACTCTGGTGGTGGCTATTTAACAAATTTGAAATGTAAACACCTTTGAAAATTTTAGCTAATCACAGTCAGTCAAACAATTTAGGTTACTGGAGTCAACAGGAAAGTGCTTGGTGATTGACTTACTGCATGCTACTACACACATGCCTCTATTCCTGGCATGAGATGGGGTGAGGCCTGACCTGGAGTGCATTATTAAGTTCTTTAGTAGCATGAACATCCAATGAGGCCCATCTGTTGTCAGATGTGTTTTTCATCCACATCCCATCCTTTATACTGCCCTTGAGGAAAAAGTTTACTAACACATATAGACCTTGAAGCCACCCTCATAAGCATGGAGGATTACTCTCAGGGCTATGATTTAGATACAGAAAATGCAAATTTGAATAACACCTGTGAGCACAGGACTGAAGCACCACTCAGGTTTGACCCATCTGCCCCTGGAAGGGTGACCAGCCAACACTGAGTGGCACTGTGACCCTGTGCACCAAGTCATAATTTTTATTGCTCGGCCCAGTCCCAAAGCACATACGCCATGGCTGTAGGGGGAGTGTGAAATGGATGGTCTCCAACACCCTTCTCTTGAGTTTTTAATTACTTTTCCACATACACCCACACCTACCTTTACTGTGAAATTTACTAAAAGTTTAAGTAAAAAATTATAGCTAGAGCTTAACCATCCTTACTACCCTATATGGATTGCAAAATTGGCACAGTCTTATGCTCACTATGAATTACTTTGAAGGTTGCCCTCGATTTTGGTTTTATGAAACTATATGCACAAAAACAAACACCACCTTTGAGAGTGCTCCACCACACGACCAGCTATTTTAACTGTCATTGTTTTCAGTGGCTCCTCAGCACTGCTGAAAGGCCATTAGCTCACCACTACATGGCTGGAGGAGCAGCATGGTTCTTCAGTCTTCTTTTCTAACTAATGAACACTTCAGCTCTGCCAGTAGTGAACTGACTAGCAGGGATCTTAGTTTTCAGTGAGCAAACCAAACATTCAATTAAAAAAACCTCATCAAAATCCGTGTTTGAAAACAAAGCACTAGCCACTATGAACACAATGTTTTAATTATTTAGAGTCAAAAAACAATGCAGTAATCTTATCACATTGCATTGTTTCTTTACTGCTGCTGCTGGTCCTACAGTTCCAGCCTCTTTTGTTTCTTTTCATTCAGTTTGTTTCATGCTTTCTATGTATTCAGCAATTATCTGACTTCAAACATAAGCTACACCCTTGCTGCCTACAGAACAGCACATTACCAGCAACATGAAATCTGTCCTTTTCAGAGACAGTTTTTTTTAAAACTCTCTACCCCTCCCCCCATTCTGTTCTGAAATTTGATTTGTCCTTTTCATATGTGTTCATTTTTTTAATTGTATCCTTTGGTATATATAGTTGTGACAATTTTCTTCCACTATTTGATCTGAGGAAGTGGGTCTGGCCCACGAAAGCTCATCACCTAATAAACCATCTTGTTAGTCTTTAAAGTGCTACATTGTCCTGTTTTTTGTTTTTTTTAAAGTTTGTCATCTTTTCATAACTTTATAGCCAGAGGCTGAAGTGAAATTTGAGATGCCTTAAAACAAACTCCCACATGCCATTAAGTAACCTGTATATGCTTGAAGCAGTTTATTGGAGTATGCTTAGTTATGTAAATTCCAAAAATCAACCACAAGAGGGGGCGGTTGCACACTAAGACTTTTTTTTTTCCCCTTCATGAAATATAAAATGCCATGTTTTCCCAGGACATTCTGAGGGTCCCTGAGGTTTATGTAACAGGATATTTAGCATGGAACAAGTGAGCCTGAGCAAAAATCCAGGCAGATGGGAGAATACAGTAACTTGTAATGATATAAGCTAACTCTGGGAGAATAATTGACTTGATTAAAGTTTTGTCATTAGTAATTACCCTCAGAGAGGTTTCAGGGAATCTCCTCACTGTTCCTCGAATAAAAGGGGCCTGACCCTGCCAATACTTACTACCCAGCACATGACCTGATTCAAAAAGCTCAGCACATAGTTAACTTTAGGGATGTGCATAAGGGTTTACTGAACAGGTGTTACCTCAGGGACAAAGGCAACTATGAAAATTAAGCAAACCCTGAATCTGGGTTGCCCCTGTCTCAGAAGTGCAAGCCTCCTGGCCCATACCGTATCTATCACCAGCAAGGCTCTTACCCAATTAGTGTAAATCAAAAACAGACACTGAAATAAGTTAATACATGCATTGAGGGATAATTAATTAGGGAAAATAATTATTATTGTTTAGACAGCCAGCATCCAGAAAGTATAACACCTTAAAACACAGTACAGGAACTATTAATCAGGCATGAAGCCTAGAGCCCACAATATCCTAGGTGGTAAAAGGAATAAAAAAGCGATAGTACAGACCCCGGACAATAAGGAAGTTTGTGGCCGTGCCCATGGAAGTGAAGTACCACGTGAAGCCTGGGACCTCAACCACTGAGCTATCTGAAAGCTTGGAAGGAGGAACACCAGGGAGATCCTAGCCGAGAGATGGGCGACAACTGTGGGTCCTGTGATCGTAAGTATCTGCTCTGTCCTTCACTATAGCGCTACTGGAATCCCTCAGTGGTGGAGGCCTGGGCCACCAGAAGAGTTGCACTGTCTTCGTTTGTACTCAGATGGAATGAGGGGGAGTGACAGTTACTTTGACTGACAGGCGCAGGGCTTTTATTAACTCAGTGGCATGAAAGTTCCTATGATTGACAGCCCTGCAGCACACAACATCTGAGGTAGAAATATGTCCAGGAGTTTATGGTGGGAAAATGCAGCTGTAGCCAGATTGACCTAGCTCTGTCCTTGCTGATGGGATCAGGCCCTTTTCAAAATGGAGTCGGTTTCTGTTAGACTCCATTTGGAGAGACCAATTATATAACATAACATTACATAACTTCA